TCTTAAACTGGAACATACCAAATTTGTTGTTTTTAGTACAACAAAAGGGTAAACTATAAATGAAATCCCAATTTTCTATATGAGTGCTTAGTTCTTTACACATTTTGTCTTCTTTTTTTGTAGGACGTTCTGTATACCTTGACAAGAATTTTTTATAAAAGAATTGAAATGATTTTTTATTGTGTTTAATCAAATAAAATCTTTCCAAGCTTTTGGATTCATATGAAGTATAGAATGGTATTCCAGGAAATTAATATTAAGATTATATTTTCTGCGGAACTCCTTCAAAGTCAAAAATTCACTGTTCTCATCAAGTAAATCACCTACAAAGAAAACTCCTGATTCAACTCTGGTAAAAGACAGTTTTATTATTTATCGTCAAATCTTTGTTTAGCCATATGGATTGTTTCATGATCCCTTCAGCAGTGTCATTAGTGACAGTGTTTAGGATATTCCAGTTTAGTAAAATGTCTTTCCAAAAATTATTAAAATTTGTTGAAATTTTAAAAGATTACCCAATGTATGAAGTCTGCTTTTTTAATCGCCTGGACAAAGTCTGGAATGTGTTCTTTGGCGGGTTAACATCGTGTTAAAGTTTGCGATTAAATCACTTTAAATGGAACCAGTAATGTCAGTATAATGATATTTGGTAGCCATATAACTGTCTCAACATAAATGAGAGAAAAATTTGGAATATGTAATGAGACAGCAACCCAACGACACAAATAACCATTAAGGTATTTAGAGGGCAACATACAGTTACCACCAATGCACAAGTGTTTTCACAATATATCAAGCTCTAAAGCGTCCATAGTTAATAAAGATGTGATTAAGTTTATTAGAAACAATGAGCTTCTGCTATCTTAACCCAATTACCTCCTCAATAACAACAAACATTAAAATATGACATAGAAGAACAACTGCATGAATCCTGGTATAGAACAGACACAGGGAAATGTGTCGGAGTTAAACTTACTTTTGTTAAATCGACCCATCACATTTAAACAAAATCGATCAATAGAATAACAAAATGTACATAAAAGAATATACAATAAAAACCAGTACAGGAAAGGTAAATCTGAAGTAACGGTATATAACAGGAAGTAAAAGAACATACAATAAAAACCAGTACAGGAAAGGTAAGTCTGAAGTAACGGTATATAAAAGGTAATAAAAAAATATACAATAAAAACCAGTACAGGAAAGGTAGGTCTGAAGTAACGGTATACAATAAGTAAAAAAAAACACACACAAAATAAATAACAAATTATTCCGTATTACAATTGTTCGTAGTCTTCTCTCTTCTTTATATTATTAGATAAATGTTTCCTTGGTCAAGTTTATGGTGTTTATGTTTTGTCAGTTTCTTAGATTTAACATAGCTTTTTCTCATTATGGCAATTTCTTATACAGAAGTAGGGTATTCTAATCCCTATTGACTTAAAATACGATCAAACTTAGCACTTTAATAATGTTTACGATCACCTTTATAAATTGGTTGATCATTACAGTGATTTAATATATCCTACGGTTCCACTATTTCAATCTGACATTATCACCTGTTTCGTCAAGTTCCTTGCTTTGATAATTACTAACGGATATGACTTTGAAATCACGTGATTGGTGATGTATGCCGAATAGGAAAATGCCTGTACCTTGTCGAATTACATGGTGTCCCTCCTTTTGGACTTCTAATTGTTTTTTCTTCCATGTTCATGGGTGTTTACTATTTTATACATAAAATTGTAATAAATGAACAAAACATCAATATAATACCTCCATATATTGTTTATTTTAAAATGAATAAGTGTTGAAAAAACAATATAAGTTGCTTTAAGCTTATATTCACCATTGTCAATGAGAATGTTTTGTTTTACTACTGTTAATTGTGAATGTATTCATAATAACCGATAAATTTGTCCTGTTTTTTCATCTTTATTTTCTCTGGTATTCTGTAAAAGATTAGACAATTTATAAAGCCCAGTAAAAGCTAAGTTGACACAAATAAGATAACTTCACAAGAATAAACGTACAAGAACCATTTAAATTACGTTGCATCTCCGCATCTAGTAAGTGTTCTACTACCAATCTACCAGTGCTTCTAACTACCTCCCTTACTACTATCAAAGAACTTGTTATTAACTCTTGTAATAAAGCTTATGAAAATAATGGTATTAATAATTTTTGGAGTGTTAAAAATTCTTAAGAGGTTTTAGATAAAATACATGCTTTTGATGGCCCTTTTAGTTCTGTTGACAGCTATGATTTTTCTACTCTCTATACTACACTTCCACACAATCTTATCAAGAAAAAGTTTTCATATTTAATTAAATGGTCTTTTGAAAAATCTCAGTGCAAATTTATTTGCTGTAACTCGTTTAAAGCTTTTTCTGTAACGAAAAAGGAAAGTATGCTAGATACACTTACTGGAAATGTGAAGATATGATTGAAGCTTTAAATTTTCTCCTGGACAACATATATGTACGTTTCGGCGATAAAGTGTATCGACAAGTAGTAGGTATTCCTATGGGCACTAACTGCGCCCCGTTAATAACAGATTTATTCCTGTATTGCTATGAATCTCAGTTTATGACCAAACTCAGTAAAGACACGTCATTGTTACATTTGGTTGATACATTCAACAATACCTTCCGTTATCTGGATGATATTTTTTCGTTAAATAATCCAGAGTTCTCTAAAAATACTACCGAAATTTACCCAAAAGAACTTACTTTAACTAAATCTAACATAAACAGCAGTAGTTGTCCTTTTCTAGATTTGGACATTTCAATCTCTAAAGGAAAACTCCATACTAAAATTTACGACAAAAGAGACGACTTTTCATTCCCTATTGTTAATTTTCCTTTTTTAGACGGCGATGTTCCTTTGGCTCCATCATACGATGTTTATATATCCCAACTCGTTCGTTATGCCTGTGTGTAGTGGTGTCATAGATTTTAACGAACGTAATCAATGCATCACTGGTAAATTATTAAGTCAGGGATTTCGTTACCATAAATTACGTAAAACTTTTACTAAATTCTTTCATAGATACAAAGATTTGATTAGTAAATTTGGCTGTACCTGTAGAAAACTGATTAAAAACGGTATTTCACATCCTAAATTTTACGGTAATATTGTACTTAAAGCGCGGAAATCACTATGTGATCCGTCTAAACTCATCGAACCTTTAAACAAACTTATTAGTAAAGGTTATCTTACCAATGTTGTAATTAGATCTTTGAATATAGTTTACATTGGCACTAATATCGATTTTGTCATCAGCAAATTAAAACATAACTAAATTTGTTTTCTTTTCAAACGGGATGTATAAAGACACACCCACGTTCATTTTGATCTATAAAGAGGTTAACTCCTAACTATCCTACTGCCTGTCGATACATTTATTTTTGGCATTGCACAAGTCATGTCTTCTTTGACTGTCCATGATAAAATACTAGATCCCTGGATGTGTTTTAGCTGATTTTAGTCTCTGGTGCATGATTTTTTATTATTAATTGTTTTTGGCTTTTAACTAGCTGTCAGTAACTGCGAGTACTCTCAAATCGTACTTTCTTGTTTATTTGACCTGTTGATACTAATTGTAATGCTTTTCAGTTATTTAATGTTTACTTATTCAGGGTTATATCTGGTCTATATACCAGCTTTGATAAGTGTTTGGTATTACTATAAATTTTCACTTCTTCTTACTATGAACATCAAAATTATTTATTTTGAAAAAATATTTCCTTTCTCCATTTGAACTGTACAGGTATACCTAACAACAAAATTATTTCATTTACTTGTGTTTAAAGTAATTGCAAATGGCTGATATTTTTGTTGAAGCATATTTTTTTCTTAAATTGTTTAACATTTCACAGCGGTATAACATGTTACTTTAATTATTCTTCCCTAAGTTTATTTATTTTATATTTACATTTTATCATAGATCAAATTTATTTGTTAAGTGTATGTTCACTGGTGTTAATATGTCTTTTGATTGAGTTAGCCATTTCAATTGATATGTTATAGTGTGTATTTCTATGTTGTGATGTTACACTATTGTTTCAGATAAGGGTAAAGGTTTGGTACTATTAAAACGTTTAAACCCGCTGCAAATGTTTGCACCTGTCCTAAGTCAGGAATCTGATGTTCAGTAGTTGTCGTTTGTTGATGTGGTTCATAAGTGTTTCTCGTTTCTCGTTTTTTATGTAAATTAGACCGTTGGTTTTCCCGTTTGAATGGTTTTACACTAGTAATTTTTTGGGGCCCTTTATAGCTCTAGCTGTTCGGTGTGAGCCAAGGCTCCGTGTTGAAGACCGTACTTTGACCTATAATGATTTACTTTTATAAATTTTGACTTGTATGGAGAGTTGTCTCATTGGCACTCATACCACATCTTCTTATATCTAAGAGGTGTGTAATTAACATATTTTAATGTGAACTCTTTATTGGAATACCCTTGAGCAGTGGTGTAAGAAGTATCGATCCAATTTTGACTTAAAAAAAACATTGAAAAGTTAGTTATCTATAAATTATATGTAATTTGATGAAATGTTAACATTTTATGTCAGGTTCAAATGAAAAGTTATTTCCAAGGTTAAGTTAACGACCAATTCAACTGATGAAATTATAGATACATGCTGAAATATAATGTAAAAATAAGGAGGAGTGGTGTGATTGCCAATTAGACAACTATCCTCCAGAGTTGAAATGACGACGATAAAAGCAATTATTGGTCAACGTACGGCCTTTAACAATGAGAAAAACCCATACCCGTATAGTCAGCTATAAAAGGGTCCTACATGAAAAATGTGAAACAATTCAAATGAGAAAACTAACGACCTGATTTATACAATACAATTTACGAAAAACAAATATTTTTTTTTATGATTGAAACAGTTTTTCTTGATGTTTTTGATGAGTAAACTTGGACAATTTAACTCACAAACTGAAAAAAAGTCCGAATGACATTTATGTTAAGTTTGTGAGTGAGCGGCTCAGGTTTCACACCTATAACCTTGAAATAAATTCTTATAAAAGGTAAAATAACAAAAATACCGAACTCCAAGGAAAATTCAAAACGGAAAGTCCCTTATCAAATGGCAAAATCAAAAGCTCAAACACATCAAACGAATGGAAAACAACTGTCATATTCCTGACTTGGTACATGCATTTCTTTATGTAGAAAATTTTGGATTAAACCTGGTTTTAAAGCAAGCTAAACCTCTCACTTACATGACTGTCGTATAAAATTCCATTATATTGATAGCAATGTGTGAACAAAACAAACAAACATAATAGGTAAAAATGTCAAAAAATGGGGCAAAACAGACAACATTGTGATTCTCAACCAAAAAATATTATACTTTTTCTGTCAATTTGAACTTTCTTGGAACCCCAGGATTCCATTCATGCATGAATATATCACAATGAAATCGACATGGTGTGTATAGGCTACAAAAGTAGTTTCGGTAACATGGTCTATAGAAGTGTAAACCAATGGAAAACATTCTAACGGACCAATAAAGTATTTGTAGATATGCAAATCAATTAAGAATTATTATCATGTGTGCCGTCACTAACTGGGTATATAACTCAAGAGTCACGATTCTAAACGAGTCGATACTCTCGAATCAGAGACCTTGGTGCTCCTTGCATATTAGATCTCGTTATTTTAAACGACAGAATAAACATACACGTAATAAACGTTAAATGTACGATTATGGGTACTCTCAATCTGAAATCCGTTATTTTTTCGATCATGCAAAATATCGTGTATAGATTAGAATTCGGTTGGCAGCAGTATAGTACAGTCATATTTTTTATTTTTACATGTGTGATGTTAAATGAAACGAATTTTTAATACCGCACTTGTCTGAACCCCATATGGACGACACACAGCATTTAGCTCTAGAGCCAACGATTTCACAGCTTCCTCCATTACTACAACCGATTGAACAGGGATCATCTGTAAAAGAAGTCATTACATAAAGGCAACAGTAGTATACCGCTATTCGAAATTCATAAATCGATTGAGAAAAAAACAAATCCGGGTTACAAACTAAAACTGAGGGAAACACAATACATACAATACATCATTATTATACACTCATCTGGTTCAGGGTCTACACAAATATTAGAATGAGTAAACTGACTCAAAATAAACTAAAGTACTCAACTGGTACATCGAAACTAGAGGTTATGAAGAGCCTGTGTCGCTCACATAGGTCTATGTGCATCTTCAACAATGGACACTCTCCAACATTGTGGACTAGAAAGGAATTCATGTAAAAAGATTTTTTTGTTGATCTTGTATTGCTGATCATTTTATTCTGTTAACAGTTTTTCTCTAAATTTTTCAGTTTTTTCCCAAAACATAAAAGCAGTTAGTAATCGTCATTTAGGGCAATTACTCCTATAAAGCGTCTACTAACGATTTCGGCAAAATTTGACCTATTTGTAGATCTTGTTTTGCAAATCATTTTTGCTTTTTAGAGTGTCTATGATATCTTTTATATTTTTCAAGAAAATAGGCAAAAAAGCAAAACAATGATACAAATTGTAGATTGTAGATCTTCATTTGCTGATCATTTTTGCTATTCAAAGTATCTATCTATCTGTTATTTTTGTTCAAAATAAAAGGCAAAAACACTAAGAATAGGTGAAAATCGTCATTAAAGAGCAATATCTACAATAAGCAATCGACAGACGATTTCGGCCTTTACACTAATTGGTAGAGCTTGTCTTCCTGATATTTTTTGCTTATTTAAGTTTTTATCTTTCTTTTTTAGTTTTAAGGATAATAGGCAAACACACTAAAAATGGGTAAAAATCGTTATTAAAGGGCAATAACTCCAAAAGGGAGTCTTCAGACAATTTCGGCAATGAAAATTATTTGTATATCTTGTCTTGCTGATAATTTTTTATATTAAGAGTTTCTCTGTATCTATTATAGATTTGATGAAACAAGGCAAAAATGAAATAAAAACATTGGTATAATTCGTCATTTAAGGCAATAACTCCAATAAGAGGTTGTTTGAAAGTTTTGATGAAAATAGACAGTAGGTAGATCTCAAAAGAGGGACGAAAGATACTAGAGGGACAGTCAAACTCATAGATCGAAAACGAACTGACAACGCCATGGCCAAAAATAAAAAGACAAACAGACAAATAATAGTACAGATGACACAACATAGAAAACTAAAGACTAAGCAACACGAACCCCACCAAAACTGGGGTGATCTCAGGTGCTCCGGAAGAGTAAGCAGATCCTGCTCCACATGTGGCACCCGTCGTGTTGCTTATGTTATTACAAATCCGGTAAATAGTCTAATTCGGTAGGTCACAAAGGGAAGGGTATTGTAGTTACGACATAAGAAACATATCCGATATCATCTGTGAAACGGTTATTCCATAACGGTCAACCAACTCGTGATGGCGTCCGTAAAATTTACGAAGGGTTGATTTCAACTTCACCATTTGGAACTCTTGGTTTAATAGCTTCCCTGTGAGCAGCAATCCTCTATCAAGAAAATCATGATAGGAAATACATGCCCGGGAATATCGTATCAATTGGGAGATATATACTCCGTGTGCAGGCGCTGCTGGAATGTTGCTACATAGAAATAGAAAGTTCACAATTGGAAAGCTGAAATCATCTCTTTTGTCGTAAAGTTTTGTTTTCAACCGACCCTCGTTGTCAATTTCTAGATGTAAATCAAGATATGAGGCAGACTTAACTGTATCTGTAGTATCCTTTATCTCTAGTTCGATGGGATAGATTCGTTCAACATAGTCACCAAATTTTGTATTATTTAGTGAGAGAACACTATCTATATAGCGGAACGTAAAGTTAAAGGATATTGCTTACTTCTTATCTTTCTTTCTAAGAAGTTCCTGTATGAAGTCAGCCTCATTATAATAAAGAAACAAGTCGGCAAGAAGAGGGGCACAATTGGTTCCCATTGGAATTCCGACAGTCTGTTGAAAAACACGTCCTCCAAACGTAACAAATATGTTGTCAATCAAGAAATGAAGCATCCTGATAATGTTAGTTTCAGAGAATTTTTTGTTTGAATCAGAGTGATTCTTTACAAAGTAGGATTTATCCCTCCCCAAGACAAGAAACTTGTATCTACGTTCGCCATTCTTTTTAATGAAACAAAGTAATACCAACTCTTTCAATTTGTCTTTTAGTTTGGAATGGGGAATACTTGTGTAAAGTGTAGAAAAAGTCAAATGTTTTAATACTATTGCAAGATGAGAGAGTCTTAGATTGTATGTACTCTACAAGATCTTTGGAATTTTTTTAGTATCCACATCTGATTCACGCCACCTCTAGAATAGGCAGTTTCACAATAACTTTTGAACCCGGCTTTGATTGCTGACAAAATAGATGTTAATAATTTAGAAAGAGGTTTCGTGGAGCACTTGGAAGACCCAGCAATATACCGTTGTTTGTAAGGACACTTATGTAGTTTAGGTATCAAATACAGTGATGGAAGATCCAGTTCTTCATCTTTAGTTGAAATTCCAAAGGAACATAGAACAGACCTATGATTATCCAGGATTTCCTCTTTGGTAAGTGTCGTGAAGGTATATGTTGAGTTTCCAAATGAATTGTCAATACCTAATTCATTTATCAAGCAGTTTATGTAATGATATTTACACACAAAAACCATGTTGTTTGGGGCTTTATCTGCGGGGACAACAACATATTTGTCATGGAGGTAGGACAAGTGTTTTGCAACATTTGGGTCTTTAACAATTGACGTAGCGTGAGTATTGATAGACCCATTTAGTTTCTTAATTCGGATTTGTATCAACGACCTCACAGACATAATCCATTCGGAAAGAGTATCTACGTCTTCTTTCTCGCGTTTAGCCCATTGCCTGGCATAATCCTCGACTGAATCCATCAGTATTTTGGAGTTGTATTTCCAATTGATGGATTTAGGCTCACAATATTTCGGACCTTTGGATAACAAATTTCGCAGGGAAGTGTTATTGACAATGTTGAGGTCTCCGGTAATAACGTGACCAGCCGGATTATATATGAATTGGGAACTAGCACAGGTGCAATCAGGAGGTTTAGACTTGAAGTCGTCAATGTTGAGATCCTGCAAAACGTGTTTGTAATTAAAAAAATTTAGTTGCAATTGGTCTGGTATAGGTATAAGAAATTATTGGTACAGACTGATCTTTAAAATAAGGAGGTATTTTCGACTGAACTAATTTATAATGAAGAATATTGCCTAAGTTGACGCCATCGAGACCTTTGTTGGCAAAGGAAAGTTTAAGAAAAGATCTTTTCTCTTTTTCATCTTTTCCAATGCGAACTGGTTTAAAAAGTCTGTGACTTGCAATATCCGAAATGATAGCTGTAAGTTTGTATTGGTTAGAATGAGGGTTTGTAACAGTGGTTTCCAAACATAAATTGTACAGAGAATGAAGTTTTGAAAGGGGTAATAAATAAAGTTAAGGGCGAATGTGATAAATACCTAACGGCTTTTGTATAAATGGCAGCAAGTCATTAATAGAGACATCATGCAAAGTAGGTGATGTATAATGATGATGACCATGACTGCGTCTACGTCGAGGAGTAGAGTTGAAAATATTCATCACATTCACCCAGCTACAAGAAGGACTAGATAGAATACCTATACCATCAATTTTGTCATTGCAACCATATGGTGTCGCAGTTCGCAATTGTCGAATCCATTCGTCTTCTTTTTGTCTACGGAGAGGCGTTGCAAGTTGAGGATTGTTAGTCTTGTGGTATATTTTTTCGATAATACGAACTGTCATAGAAACAATGGAATGATCAGGCTGATTAAAATGCTGGTACCGAATGTCGTTTGCATTGAGGTTGATATCTGATCTATGGCCGCACATACGTTTGTTTAGCTTTCCTTTCGTTTCACCGACGTAAACCAATCCGCAAAGGTTACACTCTAATCCGTAGACAACATTTATAGATTTACAATTCAGATCATCGTTACTTCTAGTAAAATAAGACTTTTTAGTTAAATTGCTAGTGAATTGAGCATCTGTTATTAAAATTTCACAAGTTTTGCAGCCATTTGTTCCACATTTCGAAATGAGACAGTGTTGTTCAGAGTCATCAAAATCCAAAATGTCTTTAAGGAGAACTGAACATGGCTGTTTATGTGTACTATTGCTATTGTCACTAGTATGATGATCTGAATGAGTCATGTTTGGGATTCTGAACAACTTTGCTACGTCAGATTGTATCTATTCATAGCAATTTTCAAGATAATAGACAAAACTTGCATTTTATCCCTATGTTCTATTTTAAGCTATGTCGGCTATGTTGGTTGGCCGGCGGGGTCATCGGACACATTTTTAGTACTAGATACTCAAATGATCATTGTGGCCAAGTTTGGCCCAGTATTTTTATAGAAGATTTTTGTAAAAAGCTGACGAACAAGTGATGAGAAAAGCTAATTTGGCTCTATGGGTTAAGTGAGCTAAAAAGGTACATATACAACTCAAATAATAACAGTGCTCTTTTTCAGTCAGTGTCCTCCAGAGCAATGCATTCCGGCGTTTATGTCATGGGCGAGCGGACTGTATCGACTGGATTAGTCGGGTTAGTACATATGTTATCTATGAAATCTTTACCGGTTATGGTGAGTCAATGAATATGATGACATACTTTTGGAGTGTCTAAAAATAAAATGAAACATTTAAACGGTACAGACTGTGGTCACAATTCTTCACCTGGAGAATATGCAATTGGATATAGTCAGTTTAGAGAAACTTCAAAACAATAATTTGTCTACGCCATAAACCGTCACAGCAAAAGTTCGCTTTACAGGAAAATATCTTGTGTACCCGAAATTAGAAATATTTCACATATAAACCCTTACACAGCTACTTTTGCATAGGTACTATTTCTGTACCAAAAATCTATAGTACTGAAAATCTACTTTTAATATTCAGTACTATTTTGTTACTTTAAAATTATTGTAATATTTAGGTACCTGTATTTTACAGTACTTGATATGTACTTGAAATTTAAGTACACCATTACATTTTCAGCATTTTGAAAGTTTGTCTATTTCAAATCTCTTAAAGTTATGATTTTCAAACATGGAATATTGTTATCACTGTTGGTATTACTGCTGTACCAAAAAATTCGAGTACAAATCATGTACTGTAAAATACAGGTACCTTAATATTACAAGAATTTTAAAGTAAAGAAATAGTACTTAATATTAAAAGTAAATTTCCAGTACTACAGATTTTTAGTACAGAAATAGTACCTATGCAAAAGTAGCAGTGTACCTGCAAAATATTATACCCTATCTACAAAATATATTGCTTACCATTTGATTGTCAAAAATAGCTATAAAATAATGATAAAAAATCAGTTGCAATGTGGCTGGTGTTGATCAAGTTTTATTTAACAATTAACCAATCAATATAATAATATTAATAATAATAATAATAATAATAATAATAATAACAATAATAATAATAACAATAATAATAATAATAATAATAATAATAATAATAATAAGGTTGAAATGCATAATTTTAATAATAATAAATTCAGAGAATAATTGAAGGTCTTTCCACCTTACATGATGTTAGTTAAGGTTGCAATACATAATAATAATATTAATAATAATAATAATAAATTCAGAGAATAATTTAAGGTCTTTCCACTTACATGATGATAGTTAGGGTTGAAATGAACTTTAAAACAGATATGAAAAAAAGTATCCTTGTAAACAAAAACGATGTCAGAAGATAAAGTATCTTACATAGATTCCAAAAATATATAGTTTGTAGTTGTTATTTTTTAAGAAATATTCATTATGTTGAATGTGGTCAGTATTTGGAAGAAGAAGAAGATAAATGACCAGCTACTTCCGACTAAACTTGTCATTTCCCGTGTCATTAAATGGCTCACTTTTCACTCATTTCAAAAATATAAGGTTTTTAAGTATTTCCTTTTTAAAATAAAGGAGATAATTGGCCACTTCTTGTGTACAAAATGCCACTTCCGGTGTCATGTGATAGCTTTATTGCAATGACAATCCTGATAGTTGTTGACTTCTATGTCATTTGGTCTCTAGTGGAGAGTTGTCTCCACAGGCACTTGTCTCTGAAATAAACAATTCCTAAATACATTAATTGATGTATTTAGGAAATTTTTTTCAGAGACAAATGCCTGTGGTTGACTCATTGGCAATCGTACCAGATCTTCTTATTTTAATTTACACGTACGTTTTACTGTTTCTCATGGCGGAACAGGTGATGCATGCATAACAGGAGGCGTCTTCTTTGTCGACACAACGAGTCTCGCTTCTTTTGGAGTTCATGTGATTCCCTAATTTTATTTTTTATCTTGATTTGTATCTTCGTAATGAATTTATAAAATTTGAACATCGGATTACTTCTGTTGTCTCTAAACAGTTACCTGTATTTGGCAAAATCTTTCGGAATTTTGGATCCTCAGTGTTTTCAACTTCGTACTTTATTTGGTCCTTTTGACCTTTTTTGATTTGAGCGTCACTGATAAGTTTTCTGTAGACGAAACGCGCGTATGGCGTACAAATTTTAATTCTGGTATCTATGATGAGTTTATTTACCACTAATCAAATTAACAGTACGCATAATAAGATCATTTTTGAATGATTGATTAATTGATGGATTGTTAGTTGCTTAACGTTCAGCAAATATTTCATGCACGTTAAGGGCGATAACAAATGAACAATACATACAACAGGTAGGTCATGTAATAGGGTTCGACCGTTAAAATAAAATCAATCTTTTAGTTAGTACTACCTTAGTTCAATGAATGCACATAATTCATGGAGTAATGTATTTTCTTATACTGCAGTTGAATTAATTTCATGTTTCTTTTTACATTTTAATTCTTAAAAAAGTCAAAATTACTTTAAATAACACTAATGATAACGACATCTTAAAATAAGTACCGATTATCAGGTTGTCTGCATATTGATATTAATATCAGCTGCGAGCCACAATATGTAAGGCCAGGTCAACGTATGAAGTTTTTTGTCGAGTGAGCGTAGCGAACGAGTTAAAATAGGCTTCATATTGTGTCGAACATCTGACATCTTACAATATCAATATGCAGATATCCTGATAATCGATTTATCGGATTGTAATTGTGTATTTGCATGATAGAAACAAGTGTTTTTCTTTGTTTCGCCAGGAAACCGGAAGATGACGTGATAAGTTCGGGTCAAACTTATCAATGTCGGTTCATTCATTATGACGTCGATGATAATTTATGTCCAGGTCAAAGTTATTAAGGCCAGGTCAACGTATTTGCCGTGATATGCAATTTTATGAAGAGCTGAGCAGAGTGATACAAACAGTGGGAACACCGATAATAGTGATTAAAAGTTACGACATACCAATATCGACTGAGTCAACGGAACTGGTACTCTTACATCAAAAACTGTATACTTACACTGACAGTATGTTCCGTAGTAACCAGACGGACAGGAACAGTACCAACCGGAGCCGGATATTATACAGTGTCCGCCATTGCTACATTGTCTATTAGTGCAAGGTGTGTCTAGAATATAATATGACGCAAGATACATTAAATCAACAAATATACATGGACTTTGATTATTTTAGAGAAGGTTCACGATCAATGATTAAAATATTCTCTATACTCAACGTAAGGAGTATGAAACATAAGATAGTAAAGCACATTGAAGGTTCGTTGTTATCACCGAGATCTGAACAAAAACAGATAGGATAATATATTAAAACTATATCTGTGACACGCCATCAATTGGTCTCCGTCGTCTGAAGTCATTAGTCCATTATCGTCTGTTAAACTAAGAATGTATACGTATCATTCTTTGTAATCAAACCCAGACAAAGATGATCTTAAATAAATCGTGCTATTCATTTTAGATCCCCTTTGGTCATATGATTCCTAACGTTTCTACGTGTTTATACATCCCTGACTTTTAGGGTTTGAAGTTAAATCCAGGAAAACGCATCGGACATACGAGCTTTATAAAGACTAAAGTGTTATTTTCATTTAGATGCATTCTTTAATGCCAACATGACTATCTCTACTAAAAAATAAGATTTGCCTATTCCTCAGAGAAACAAAAGCATTGCGAAACAATGCTAGATAAGCAAATAGTTGTGATAGTTTGCAATAAAAATTATTTTAAAGTACCCCAGTTCGACAGTTAAGGTGACCGATATCTACTAAAAATAATCGTAAATCAAACAATCTTTTTATATTACAAATGGAGCTTGAAATTTCTGTTGCATTCAAACTCTTTTGTAAAAAGTAAAATAACAAAAATACCGTACTCCAAGGAAAATTCAAAACGGAAAGTCCCTTAACAAATGGAAAAAATCAAAAGCTCAAACACATCAAACGAATGGAAAACAACTGTCATATTCCTGACTTGGTACATGACCAATACACCAATAAGGTCCATTGATAATTATAAGATATTCAGAAAAATACATTATTCCAAAATTAAGGAGCAAGTCCCAACTTTGAAAATTTAAGCACTGACACCTCTTGTTTACAGTACATCTTAAATTATTCTGAAAACACATAATTTACAATTTAAGGCTCGTCCAGTGTCCGTTTTGACTGGTGAACAAGAGCGTCCTTATACGGGAACTATTATGAATTGCAAAACAGCTTAGATGTGGCGATTCATTGGCCAGTTTAAATAAGAAAAACACATGTTCGTTACACCCACTGACTAGGTTGTTTTTACAATCCACATTGAAACCCTGGGGACACTTAAGGGTTTTCAAAGACAACAAGAAGCAAGACTTCTAAAGGTTATGGTGCACATTACTATAAGTTACAAAACATCTTTGATGGCGTAATTCACCAGTTCATTCGTCTCAACTATGCTTCAACAAGTTTTTTACGCTATTGGTTTATACTTACAAGCGACACAAGCAACATTTGGGGAACCTACATGGGGTACATGTCCTTATTCTTAATGCTCTTTTATCTTTTAACTTTTGAATATTTTCTTTAGAATAAATAAGTTAAATTGCATTTCATATACGTCAGGTTATTTATTTAAACATCTATTGAAAACATGCGTACAGATGATAGGTTTTATATTGATATACTAACCTACTTACACATACACATTAACACGTTTTACTGATGATCCGTTTAGTTTTGCTTGATTGTAAAGTAATATGCAAATGTAATTATGTGCAGATGATCTATTTCACAGAAAAAAAGAAAGTAAGTTAAGTATGTGGTTTAAGTGTCAGCGAAGTGATATTCTGTATGGAAAGACAACGGGGTCAAAATTCTTAATTCGTAAATTGTCAATTTGTAACTTGTAACTGTGTAATTTCAAAATTCTTAATTCGTAAATTGTCAATTTATAAATTGTATCTTTGTAATTTCAAAATTCTTAATTCAGCCGTAAATTGTCAATTTGTGTAACTTGTACCTTTGTCATTTCAAAATTCTTAATTCGTAAATTGTCAATCTGTAACTTGTAACTGTGTGATTTCAAAATTCTCTATTGGTACATTGTCAATTTGTATATTGATGTTTTGTAACTTGTAACATGTCGATTCGTTAAATGTCGATTTGTTAAATGTCATCGTTGTATTATGCTAACGATCATTATGACGACAGATGGCGTTCGGTTTCTTCTTCGGTGTATAAGCCTCCTGTCAGTAGGAGCACCTCCATATGGAGAATATACCTTAGTAATTTACATTAATTATGTACAGCAAATGCATCTAAAAGAAAACAAATTGGAAAATATTTGCTTTGTTTTTATATGGCATGTATACAGGAACCCGGTTTTATTTTGTTTTCTGAAGGAGACAGGACCATGGCCTTTCGTTCGAGGACGGAAACTATATAAACATACAACCCGAATAGTTCAGTCCCTCCACTTAATCGATCCCTCCTACTTGCGAGGTTAATGAAGTAGTCGTAGATCAGCGGAATATAACGACTGAATTATTCGGGTAAATATATCTGGGAGCAGTATATCTAACAATATATATGTTCCTGAATAGATATAAGGAGATGTGGTAATGAACCGTATGATTGCCAATGAGACAACTATCCCCTAAAGTTCAAATAAAGCCGATGTAAGCCATTATAGGCAACGTACGGCCTTCAACAATGAAAAAACCCATACCATTTAGTCGGCTATAATAGGCTACATCATTACTGGAAAACCCAGGTAATAAACGGTTTCTATTAATCCTAAAATGTTATTATCGGACTATTTTATTTTGAAGGAGGGGAAGGGCTGACCGCTATATATATATATATTAATATACATGCCTACTAAACTTTTCTGCTCAAGAAGTTTAACAATTGCCGCTTCCTGATTTTCCGTTCAATAAAAATTTACAAAACAAAAAGACCAAAATATTCCTGATTCCCTACCTCTCAACTACTGCTTAATGCCCCGTACTCCCGGTATCCCACCGTGCCACCCCCTCCTTAGATATCCTTAGCCTGGCAACCTGACCCCATACTGAACTATTAGTTCGGTCAAGAAAGACAACTCGTACTCAAAAAAGGGAGGTAACTCAATTTTCTTATAAAGGGAAACGAGTTTATCAGTATTTCCGAGGAACATGTTGATTTTTGCACGCCAATTTGTGTACATAAATAATTAAATATCGGATCACAACAGGTTTTGAATGTTTGATGATCGATATCCACGCTTAATTCCAATATTATAATAATTTGTAATCTTGATAGGAAACCGAGTTTAGAATCAAATTAGAATTATTACGGTTTATATATAATTATTTCAATTAGTTTTTATTAAACGAGATGCGTATCTATTGTGAAAAATTCTTTCTTAATCTTTGAACATTTTTCTAAACATGCAAATTCTGTTAAGAAAAATAGAAGTATTTGATTTTATAAGACAAAAAAAAAAAAAAAAAAAAAACAGAAAAAAAAAAAAAAAAAAGAAATCTGCCCACTTAAAATATTGAATTTTGCCATGTCTGGTTGAATGACTATACATATTTTGATTCTCATACTTACAGACAATGCATTACATCGGTACATAGAAAAATTATAAACTCATATTAACTCAATTTAACTATTAACGAACTTAGTGAAATGTTTGCTTCTTTTTTCATCTTTGAACTGCTAAATGGCGAAATGCATCTAAGAAATCTAACAAATTTTGCAAGTTCAAAATAGAGAACCATTCAAAACAAAATTGATTTTACTTCTTCAATACTGTGGTATGCATAACTTTGGCCACTTATAATAAATGAAAAATAATTATGTAATCAAATTTGGTTAAATATCTATTTCAAGTTTATGATCTTTTATATGTAAAGGTAGTAAGGTAAACATAAATAAACAGAATTAACAGCTTTATGTTATTGCTTCGAAAACGATGATGTCCTATACTGATTTTATTGCCATCATACTCATACTTATATTCCTTAGTTTTAAGAAGACACATTTAACCAATTAATTGTATGGTGTTATAACTTTGGATATCAAAATAAAGGTATATACAGAAAAGCGCGTTGGACGCATCAAAATCATTAAGTGATATTGTCAATGTTAGACATGAATCCCAAAGTTTTTCATTTGGAAAAGTTTTTTTTCTAATTTCATTTTACATTTTAGCAGATATAATTTCAATATCTCAACATCTCGGGTAACTTTTCCCGTTTGTGCATCCAGATAGTACCACCGTGTCCTTTAACTATTTTCTTGATTTAAAACACTCAGTATGTCCACATTCTATGACAAACACTAGCTCGTGGTCTTTATTCAATATCGTTTGAATTCAAATCTTTTTCTAGTCCGAGATTACTCTGACGTCCAACGGCTGTTTTGCCAGACAAGCTGGGGCCGTGGGACGTCAGAGCTCGTCCCATATCAAAAAGTGGATATTTGCCCGTCCAAAATAGATGCGCTGCTTCGTCGCTTCTGGTGCCAACGGACGGCCTTGGAATTATATAAATCGGGTATCAATTTGTTCATTTTTCATTTATCTCTTCATTTATGTAAGTTTCACCTACCTGCCACCCTTTATTTTCTCATATTTAGACAGTTTTCACTGTGACCCACCGATTCTGGCATTTTGACTTTCATTTTGAAAGATTGTCATGTGATCACGAGAAAAAAGTAAGGCACAATGGACTATGGGAAATGATGTATGCATATGACCCTAGGTCAATATGAATATATAATCTAACACCTCGCTCATTTACGATGCAAGCAATGTAAATATCCGAGAGCTTCCGAATGTTATCATGGTTGGCACTAAATGCTTAATACCGATCTCCTGTAAAGGAGGTGAAAAATCGTGGTTGGCTACTAAAGGTTAAATACCGATCTCCTATAAAGGAGGTGAAAAAAGTATAAATATTTGCATATTTGAGTCTCGAGGTCGCGAAATCTCTCGTAACTTGACGTCCATTTGAAAATAAAAGTAAAAATGTCTGAATCGATGGGTCACTGTGAAAACTGTCTAAATATGAGAAAATAAAGGGTGGCAGGTAGGTGAAACTTACATAAATGAAGAGATAAATGAAAAATGAACAAATTAA